GCCTTGGCATGTGGGTTTCTCCCTGGCCAGCTGGGGATTGAACTTTTGCTGCAGAGGCTGCGTATTGCTTCATTGTGCGGTGCTTAACCCCTTGTGCCACCAGGGAGGCCCTGTTTTTATTTCTTATCACACTGTTAGAAGCCTTTGCAACATGTTTTATTCCACTCAACATTGACTTTTTCATATCCTCTTTATGTTCCATGTAGATATTAAAAATATTAATTTTAGCTACTGTATATTATTCCACTAATTTACTTATCCATTCTTCATTAGTGGGCTTTTATATTGCTTTGTGTCTGCGTGTCTCTGTGTGTGATGAGAATCGATGCTGCTGATGAACGTATATCTAATTTTATTCCTCCTAACACAGGCATGATGGTTTAGAAGTTGTTTTGCTGAGCTTAGAGTAAGCACATCTACAATTTTACAGGATTTTGATATGTTGTTTTCCAAATTACTTACTTAGTTTATTCTTAGGTATTTTTTGGTCTTATTGCTATTTTTTAAATCTTTTTTTCAAATGTTGGTGGTAAATAATAATATTATGTGTTGTATTTTAACCTTATATCCAGTAAATATGCTAAGTTCACTCATTCATTATAATAATTTATGGGTAATTTCTCTTAGATTTTTCTGGACAAATAATCATATTGTTTCTGAAGAATATCAATTTTTACTTCTTCCTTTTCAATCTTTACAGAAAATTATTTATATTTCCTTTCCCTGCCATATTACACTGCAAAAGCGCTATTGTTAAATAAAATGCCATGTCAAATAAAAGCAGTGACGTGATGGTAAATATATTTGTGTTCCCAATATGGAGTGCTAAAAACAAGTAAAACAAATCTCTGACGATAGCAATCAGAACAGAGATTGCCTCTGGGTCAGAACAAGTCAGCTGACTGGAAAGTGTCATGAGGAAATGTTCTGTCAATGGTGGTGTGTGCTCTTGTTCTTGGTCTTAGTCCTATGACTAAACATGTTTGTCAAAATTAATAGAACGGCACACTTACAATTTGTAAATTTTATAATCATTTGCCCATTTTCTTTCTGATGCTTTATGTAGCAGAAAGATTAGCTCTTTGTGATATGAATTGCAATATTTATTTCCAAAGTAAAAATTTATGTTTTTTCACAGAGAAACTTAATTTTCATGTATATGAATAATATTTTAGAGCATCTGAATTTTGCTTTTTGGCTCAAATTTGATTAATTTGTCTGCCTCTAAATGCTGGATCATAGAATGACTTTCCCCACACCAGGGTTATAAACAATCCTTCCATGTTTTCTTCTTTGAAATTTATCTGTGTATTTTTTAAGGCTTGGAGCCAACTTAATTTTTTCCCAGATGTCTTTCACATGTTATTGCTTCAAAATAATTTCTAAAGTTTTATCATCCTTACATTTCTAGGATAAACTCTTCTTGGTTATAATGTAATATTGTTTTTTTTGTTTTTTGAAAGATTTATTTATTTATTTGTTTGTTTGTTTGTTTGTTTATTATTTATTTATTTATTTATACAAGCACTGGGTACAGTCAGAAGCGCGGGAGGGTGAGAGAATTCACCAGAGCCAGAGAGGGGAGCAGAGCAGGCAGAAGGACCGAAGTACACTGCTGAGGGGAGCAGCGGGCGGCAGGAGAGGTCTGCGCGCCATGTGGGACCCTCCTTCGGTGTCCAGGGAGCAGCCGGGGATCGAACCAATGCAGCAGAGGCTGCGGGCAGCCTCACAACCCAGCGCTCAACCGCTGCGCCGCCGGGGAGGCCCCTGTAATATTGTTTTTAATACATTTCAAATATATATGTCATTTTACTATACTTTGTATGCACATGTATGTGTATGCATACCTATATACATAAACAGAAATGTTCATGATATTCTGCGCATTGCTTAGGATTTCCGTGCATATGGATCACAAAAAAGATTGGTCTTTATTTTTTTCTTTCACTTTTCTTTTGGAGTTTTGATAACGAGGTAAAAATAAGCTCATAGAAACAACTGGGTAGTTTTTCTTCTTTTTAATTTGCTGACACAATTCTTTTTTTAAATAAGAAGGGCTTTACTTTTTTTTTTTTTAAGACTTATTTATTTATTTATACAAGCACTGGGTACAGTCAGAAGCGCGGGAGGGTGAGAGAATTCACCAGAGCCAGAGCGGGGAACAGAACAGGCAGAATGACAAAATACACTGCTGAGGGGAGCAGTGGGTGTGGCAGGAGAGGTCTGTTGCACCAAGTGGGACCCTCGCAGGTGGTCGGGGATCAAACCAGTGCTGCAGAGGCTGCAGGCAGCTTCACAGCACAGCGCTCAACTGCTGCACCACCAGGGGAGGCCATGCTGACATAATTCTTAAAACCATCTAGGTCTGGTGCTTTTTTTGTGGGGAACGATTGGATTTTTTTAAATTATTTTTTTAATTTTATATATATATATATATATATATATATTTCTTTTTGAAAAAAATTTTGTAAACTTTTTCACCTAAGAAAATTACACTTTCATATAGCTCTTCCAATTTATAGACTTGAAGTTAAAGCTATTGTCATAATTTAAAGTCTCTACTGCATTCATTTTTCTTTCCTAATACTAATTCTTTGCATCTTCTCTCCTTTTTTGCCTCATTAATTTACAAACAACCTGAAGGCATTTTGATGCCTTTGGTGCCTTTGGCTGTTGTTGCCTTGAATTTCAAGGTCAGAATGGGTGATAATTAAGGAAAGAGATGCACCCAATAAGAATTTTCTGGTACTACAGAGCTGCTATTGACCATTTTCATTGACCATTAGAAGTTCAAATATGCCTTGTTTTCATCAACTATTAAGTAGGAATAAGCATAGTATCCACATTATAGGATGTAATAAGGATTAAGTGAATTAATTTAAAAAGCATTTGGCAAAGACAGAGCTGTTAATATACTTCATTAGTCGTTACTATGTATAAAGGAAAAATAAAGCAACAGATTCAGGTTTGAGGTTCAAGGACCGGGATACTGAAAATACCTTTGTTGTGGATTACTCCACATTTGGTCCCTGGCTCCAACTATCCTACCAGGTCATATCCCTTATGTAATACTCCCCAGTCTTCAGAGCAAAATACTGAATTATCTAGAGTGACGCAGCATTATTCAAGCTTGGCCACACTAACATTGTATAGACAGATGAAGTTACATTCAAATCTCCGCAGATTTAAAGGCGTGACTGGCTTACCAGATGCCGTAATTGCAAACTTTTTTCTTAGTGTTCTTTCAGTGCTTTGTTTATTCATTTAGTAAGTATTTACATGGCTATAATGTGTAAATCCTGAGTGAAAAATGGTGTGAAAACTATAGTCCCTGCTAATTTACTAACTGAAGTCTTTTTTTTAAAGATTTATTTATGCATGTAAGAACTGGGGTACAAGTGTGTGTGGGGATGGGTGAGAGGATTCACCAGAGACAGAGTGGAGAACAGAACAGGCAGATCAACTGAAATACACTGCTGAGGGGAGCAGTGGGTGAGTCAGGAGAGGTCTGCTGTGCCACGTGGGTATCTCCCTGGGTGGGGATCGAACTCCTGCTGCAGTGGCTGTGGATAGCTTCATAAGTTGCGTTTTAACCCCTTGTGCCACCGGGGAGGCCCCTAAGTGAAGTCTTGCCGAGATACAATGCTGCCTGCTTTCATGTTAATGTTGAAGGGTAAGGGCCGATATTGACTTGTGTCTGTCATTGGGTCAATCCATATGTGCACATTGGCCAACAGGTCCTTCTAGAGCCAGGCTGTCCCGTGGCACACCTACTAATCACACGTGGCTATTTCAAACTAAATGAATAAAAATTTAATTAAAGACTCAGTGTCTCTGTCACACTAGACACATTTCAAGCACTCAGTAGCCACATTGACTAGTAGTTAGAGTATTGGAAAACTGAACTATTAATATAAAACTTTTCATCATCCCAGGAAGTTCCACTGGACAGCTCCATTAAAGAGGGAATTTCAGTAATTTAATACTTGCTTTATATGGATGCCTCAGGGAACAGATCACCTTGTCCTCACTGGGCTGGCTGAATACCTATGATTATGGCTAGCATGGTGAAAATAGTTTGTTCTTTAAGCTGGTTAAACAAATGTTTTGGAATGTTATTTATCCCAGGTATTAGCCTGGAGATTGCAAAATTTAGGAATTCAGAATTAATGAAATGAAAATTGATGTGTTTTACTATACTCTCTAGGTCAATCTTGAAGGCTTTTCTTTCTTGCTCATTGTTCCTGGCCAGAGGTCACCCCTAACCCCACTCCCAACTTCTTTCACTTATGTACTTGTTGATGTAAAGGATCATCCATTTCCTGGTCACTATCAGCCCTGAAACATTTGTCAATTTTGGCTACTTTCCTAGAATAATCATTGGGCATTTTCATTGCTTTGGCATTATGAGTGACATCTTTAGCAAAAACACCCTCCTTCCCAATAGTACTTGCCAGCGAGGCCTGGTAAAAATAGATAACTTATCGTGTTGCTTCCTGTTGTGTATGATTCAAGTTTCAGATCTATAAATGCTGAATGTGTCACAGATGGAAGAACATTCTTTTGATGTACTGATGGCAATTCACATGATATGGTGAAATACACATGAATCAGAGGGAGAGCAAGGAGACTGTGGGGGTAGGGGTTCCTCCCTTGTTTGCTGGGTGCTGGATTAACAAAGGGATGACAGTCAACTAGAAGGTGAAGCCTCCCAACATGTAGCTGCAACTTCTGCTGGCTTGAGAAAGGTGGGCAGTGTCTTTCAGGGAATCAACCATGATAAGAAAAAGGGTCTTGTGTTTTTCATCAATGTATGTGTGGTGTGGTCTTTCTTCCAGAGTTGATATGACAGGCTTGCTAGTTGCTTACTCTCTCCTGTCTATTCAGAGTCCATTCTGACTAGATGGTGTGGTCATAAGCCAAGATACTCACCAGCTTTCTGGCCAAGCCCACCCCAATTCCCCACCCCACCTCTGGGACCCATTAAAAAGGGAGCAGATAAGGTACTATTTCACGAATGCCTCATTTCAACTAGTAATAAGCCAAGGGGAAGTCTGGAAGCAGAGGGTGAAGAGGCCAAAGATGAGAAATCTTTGTTCCTTGTGACTAAAAGTCAGAATATGCTATTTTCTTAGCTTTTCAACCCTTCCTGATTATGCATTAATCATCTCATTTAATGAAAGTCTCATTATCAAATCTGTTGATCCTTACTTTTAAGTACTTCTAAGACTTCTCCACTCTCCCAATGTACCACTCCAATTGAAATGACCATCTTGATATTACATTGCTCAGTCTACCTTCAGAGAGCAGCCCATCTGCCTTCACACAGGAAGCTAGCTACGGTGAAAAAGGTCAAATTTGAACATTTCCTTGTTTAAATCTCTTGTTGCTTAGGATACAAATCAAAATGCTCAACCTGGCCTATTACCTGGCTGGCCCCTGCTACACTCTCTGAGGTGCCCTCAACCTCTCCCTGGATCTTGTAATGCTGTTTCTGGTGTACAGGTTTTTGTTCAATTTCTCTAACAAGCCAAAATCACTCGGTTCCTGACTTGGGGCCTTGCCACATTTGGTATCCTGTGCTTGGAATATTCTCTCCCAGTTCTTCTCTCAACTGGTCATACCCATCTTTCATTTATCAATCACAAATTCCTCTTCATTTATCACTCTAGCCATCATCTCCTCTTCCTAGGAACTAGGTCAAGGTTTTGTATTTATATGGGTAATTATTTGATTAACTCTCTTCCATATAAGATAGATAAGCTCCAGAGATAATATTTACCTTTGACTCACTATTCCCAGTTCCTAACACTATGTCTGGCAATTGAAGCATGAGTAAATTTTTGTTGACTGAATAAATAAACAGTGACTTCTGTTACCTGTCAGGAGAGGAGTGTGGTATATAAGGATGTGCACAGATTAAGAGCCCTGGGTTCAAATCCTGGCTCTGTCAATTGGTTAGGCGTTATCTTTGGCGAGTTGATATATCTTGCTAAGCTTAATTTTCTCACCAGTACAATGGACATAACCATGTTCATTTGAGGTGGTGAAGATCAAAGATATTGTATGCCAATCAGTCACCAGAGGTTCTCAATGAACTACACACTCATCATCACACATCATTAATTACTGCCATTATCAGTTTGGAGACAACAGGGTGGAGACTGCCCTAGTAAGACCGCAAGGTTGCTCAGGAAGAAGTGACAGATTACTCACACCCAAAAGGAAACAGATAGTAACATTTTTTATTAAATATTACAGTGGATCAAAAAGTACAAAATATCTCTTGCCTGCTATGTGATTGGGAAACTATTGGCACGTAATACAGTATCAAAAGCAGTAATAAGTACAATTTGGAAAACATACAAAATTGAGTGTTTATAGTTGGCTCAGCATTCTTCTGGTAGTGTTTAAACTAATGCAAAGGTTACTCAATAACCTCTCCATTGGGAAACTATATAATATCACTGGGCCATGTTGCTATATACAAATAATCACCTTACAGAGCATAAAGGTTACATAGCTGGAATCACCAAAAGTATACAATATTTACAACACAGGAAAGTTTAAAAAAGTATAAACAGCCAAGAGATTATGCTGCTATTCTTCAGACATATTTCAACCAAGGGGAGACAGGCAGAGTATCAAATACATCAACAGCCAACACTGGAATTTAAGTGCTCAAGATAATCATTGCAATGGTGTGGGTCTCACCAGGGCAAACTTGTTCCCATTTCTCTTTAAAATTGGGACAAGAGTAAAACTGGACCAGATGGGACTTGGCTGACCACCACCAAATGTGACTTTGTGGGACAACAGTGAAGAGAAATAAATGGTTCTCTTTGAAGGCACACTACATAAAATAGTTTTGTGGGATCACCTCGAAACTTCCATCAGACACACCAACACAGTGAAATACAGTACTTGAGAATTCATGCACCAGGTCAGAAAGTTGTAAAGTCAACATTGAGTTTTAACAAACCCTTCTGTATATGCCCTGATAAACAAGTGAACTTAAGAGCTTCTAGCTAGTTAATAAATAAGTCAGTCCTGTGGCAAATAGTACAAGTTCGAATCACTTACTAGGAGAATACTTAATTCAGTTGGGCTGTTTTTTTAATATTGAGTTGCCAAAAGTTAAACCAGAAGTTACATGGAGAGGTTTTTCAAAAATATTATTTAGAATCTCCAGTAAATCACGGACTTAGTGCATTTTGAATTGCAACATTTCTTGGAAGCCACACTCAGTAAATAGATTTATGACTCCATTGCCAATTAGATTCCACAGTTTCCTTTACAAAACTACCAATAACAATGGTTTGATTGCACAAAGAAAGGCTTGTGCAATTCCATTCAATAATAAGGCCCCTTGAACTCAAACAATGCAAACAAAGCCTTATTTAAGACTTTTTAAAATGTAGTTCTCAGCCAATGAAGAATTCAATGGTCTTTTTGAAAGATTTCCAAGATCTCTGTTCGGAGTTTTTAAAACAAATAACACGCAGCTTCTGTTGGGAATGTATACCCCCATTTCTCCTTATTTGTCCTGATGTTTTGCTGAGGGTATGAGCTTCCTCAGACAGAAACAGTAAGTCTCCTCTCGGAAGAAAGAGAGGAGAAAAACAAAAGCTGGACTATGTTAACATTGCTTGAAAATGGTGTGATCGAATTCCAACATGATGAAACCAGACTGAAATTATTGCGGTGGGGAAAACAAATGCCCTGATTCCAAATGGATAGGTGAGGTGAGCTCCTCCAGAGACAGATGACCCCCATTTTCTCTGAGAAAGGAACTCATAGAAACCATGAACAATCTAGCCCATGTCTGCTGCTGACCACTGGAGTTTCCTTTGTCTTCCATGACCTCTGATTCTGTGACAATTCAGTCTAGTGCAACTTTCTAAAAAGTGTCCTGGCCAGCATTTTGCCAGCTGGAATTGAGATTTTTTTTCCCCCTCTATCTTGTGCAATAGCAGGATAATCTGCATTCACACATTTATAATCTAAATTCTACTAGTCTATCTATGGTTCTATTAAATATATATATATATATTATTCCACAGGAAGGTAAATAATTAATTGAAGCAAATGGAACTCTTAACACTAGATCTCTACATTCTTTTGTTTCCACCTTTGGATATTAAGTATGTTACATTGAATATTTGGCTTCGTATCATGGAGACATTTCAATACAAATGCATGGCATGCATGGCTTTAAGAGTCGCAGTTTCATTGTTACCAGTTTTGATTATTTTGCAGTCGAGTTACCTATTTAGAAGTTGAAAATTGTTATCAATTTTCATAGAATTAAATATTTCAGAGGTAAGAGACTTGGTTAATTATGGTTCTAATATCTACTGGTAGTGTTGGGGAGGGGAGATTGACAAGGAGTTCATCAAAGCAGTCTTAGCAGGGATGGGACTTGGAAAGAAAATCCACTTCTCTGTATTGATTGACCTTTACCATACTTAGCAAATGCATCCACTTTGATGTTATACCTTGGCAGCAAATGGAATAAAGTGGCAAGAATGACAATAAACATTCTCCACACCTTTTGACTGCTTGCACAGCTTGACCATTTTTTTCCCACATAAAAAAAATTATAAAGTGGACTGTATTGCCAGGTGGTTAAAAACACAACACAAACCACCCTAGGTGCTTGCACATACACAGAATGCATACCCCACAAGTCCCAAAAGGATGAATTTCTTTTGAAATTGGTAATTCGGTAAGCCAATTGTCCCCAAAGATGTTGCCTGGGAGGGTCTTCTTGGGAACAGCAAGAAGCCAAGTTGATGAAGGCAATGTGTCTACTTAAGACTCAAAATACCAAGGCCCAGGGAAAGTATCTGGTGTCCAGGCCTCCAGCTGTTCATTGGCTTCTGGATAGTTGAGCTCCATCTCTGTCCCAACCCGATTTCCCAGACTGTCAGGAAGGATCAGTGCCAACACCAATGTAAATCATTTTGGCTCCTGTTCTAATTTCTGAAATTCCTAAAATATCTGTGCAGCCCACAAATATTCCTCTAGACTCAGTTGTTATTCAGCAGCTTGCTGCCAATGAGATTTTTGTTTTTATGATTTCTCTGGTATGTAGGACAGTTTCACAGCCTAGATAAGGTGAATACAATGCTTGATATTTTCACATAACCCAATATTTCAAAGCAAAGCATCTGGCCGGGTAAGCAGTGTGTAAGCTCTTTTAACTATGCCATTTGTGAGGAACAAAATCCTTAAGTTGTGAATCTGCAAAGGAAAGTTCTTTGCACAATTGTGTGCTCTACTGGTTTCTTTTTCATTTGTTCCACTAGAATCGGTTGCTTCAATTTGTAAACAATAACTTTTCCACCCAAAGCTGCTCAAAATGATAAGATGTGGAAAAATTACAAACACACATGGACAACTAGGACAGTCGGTCACTCTCTGAAACAAAACAAAATAAAACAAAACAAAACAAAAACAGAAGACCTGCAAACAAAAGCGGTCAGCGGTCCTGTTTAATTAAAAAAAAAAAAAAAAAAAAAAAAAAAAAGACACAGAGGAACTGGGAGAAAATGGTACTTACTACCTGTATATAAATTAGATGAGCAAACAGTGATACGGGTAGTTTTAAGAAGCAAATATATACAGTCATTTTAACAGTGTTTACTTCTCTGGATTATTTAATAGTGTCAAAATGAAAGATCTATTGAAGTTTCACTATACATTGCATTGATTGAACCTTGGAGAGTTTTATGAAAAGAAGGGGCATCCCTTGGCATGTCTGCCAGTCTTCCTTGTTCTTTCTTTGAAATGCCTGCCCCCCCCCCTTTTTTTTGCTCAGATTGTTTTCCGACCTTCAGAACTCAGATAGGGTCCTCTAAGTTCTTCCTGGATACACACAGATCCCTTCACAAGACCCCCAGTGCAAAATGAATGGTCTGGGTGCCAGGGCATGTGTTGGAAGGGCAAGACTGACCCACCAAGACTGCAGCCGTCCCAGAAAATCAGGTATGCACACCCTCCTCTCGGCCCCTTTGGCCAGGTCTAATCTTACCCCCAGATTAGAAGAAATACTGACTTCTAATTCTATAAGCCTGATCACTCCAGCGTAAGGAGTGAAGCTTTGCTTGCCACACCGTTTGGGATGCTGGGCAGAGCTGGGCTTACAGTTTTGTACTGGGGTGTACGGACGACAGCTGGGAAGATGGAAAGGCAGCTTGAGGATTTATAGCAGCTAAAGGATAAATGCTGTTGTGCAAAAGGTCCCCGTATGAACTTCCTACAGGTGTGGCCGTAGCCAAGTGTCTGTACAGCTGTTGAGAATTTGTCGGTGACGTAAAAATCCCTCTTTGCATCACGAGCGAGTGGAAAGCCAGGGGCTGCATGAGTGGAGAAAGCACAGTCTGGTTTTTCAAGTACTGCAGAGAATGGGAATACCCCGCTGGGAGCCTGGAGTTGAGGCCCGAGTTACACAGGCTCCCGGAATACAAACCTGGGAAGATGGGGGAAGAGAGGGGGAGCTTGTGACCTTCTGACGTGCCCCCGGAATGTCCACCATGTGGTGCCTTGCCTCCTTCACCTTCCTGCTCACAGCCCTTCTCTTTCCCAGAGGCTTCCTTGGAAGGGTCCAGGGGAGACACTGCCCGGGCCTTTTTCCCGGCAATCACAAGGTCCAAATCCTCCAGGCTGCGCTTTATGGGACGCGCCGCCCCAATGTTTTGAGGGCTCATTTTCCGGTGCAGGATAGGGTGGACCATGCCTTCCATCTTCCTGAAACTCTCCAGTCTCACATGGTGAGGTTTGCCTGATCGGGAAAGGGATTCAGGGTATTTTTTAGCGGCCGACATGGTCATGGGCGATACCCGACAGGCTTTGGGGTGACAGTCTCGACTCTGGCTGCCAACCTGGAACTGGGCAATGCCTTTGCTCTCCTGAGGCCCTGGGGCCGAGTGGGCCAGGCCCAGGACCTTGCCGGTGGGTTTGTGCGGGTTCTTGGGGAGGCTCAGATCTGTTGGCTGATCATCCGTGAGGGCTTCAGTTGCAGACGACTTTTTGTCTTGCAGGTGAAGAGACGTGAGATAATTTACATGGAGCTTCTCTTGGTGTTTGTGAGAAGGAAAGGAATTGTTTTCTGATTCCCTGTACATGTCCCTGCAAGGGTACTTCGATGTCTGTTCATTGTGAAGATGGTGCTCGGTGTGTCTATAGAGGCTGTGGAGATGAGGGGACGAGTAGAAATCGGCCAGGAAGCTAGGCATGTGGGAGTGGGGTAGGGCCCTTTTCTCTAGCAGCTTCTCCTTGCCCTCCTGAATTTCTTGCTTCAGGACATAGGAGTCAGCAAGGGAGCTCAGGTGATGCTTGGAGAAGCTGCAGCGGTGGGGATCCGATCGACTCAGTTTGTCATGTTTAAAGATGTCACTGATGGTCTTCCTCTCCTCCGAGGGTTTGCTTCGGAAACTCTGGACATGCTGAATCACAGATGGCCGGTTGATTGCCGTATGGTCAGTGCTCTGGCCGTGGTGGGCCTGGGACAAACCGGAACACAAGTCATCCCTCGCAATCAACTTCTTTTTGCTGATCAAGGGGGGTGGGGAGCCATAGGGGTAGCTGCTGGAGAGGCTGGCCCCACTCACTTGGGACAGAAGTTTTTTCTTGGCCAGTGGGGACATGATGCCCGGGTTGCCCCTTGAGTAGAGCAGGGGAGTGTAGTTAAGTCCGTGGTTCTCATTCATAGGCCCAGTCAGGTCTTTGTCTTTGAACATGTCAAATGACTGCACCACAAGGACCTTCGGGGTCTGCTTCAGTGCATTGTGGATGTCATCACTGCCCAGCTGGTCCACCTTCACAGTGCAGTTGGCAATGTAGTCTGCCACCGCAGGCAGTTTGTCATCCTCCATGTCACTCTGGTTTGCCAGTGGTGGCTGCGTGGTGGAGAAGCTGGAGAAGGATACTTCTTGGAGTTCATTTTCAGGACTTTCTGTAAAACAGCAAGGGTTGGGTTCTTGTTTTGAGTCCACAAGAGCACTCGAAGAGGTGAGTGACTGTTTGCTGGGGATCAAGGCTGGATCCCTTTCCGGGGCTGATGGGGCACTGGGGAGTGGAGCAGCAGGTCCCTTCTCTCCTGGCTCCTCTGTCACCTTGTCACCAGTGGCACCTGGATCTTTTTCGTTGTCCTTTTCTGGGTCCACTCTGGACGCCAGGGGCCTTGCTGCAAATTCCTGGTATCCCTCCATTTTTTTCTTTTCTACTGCTGGGAGAGGTTCAGTGATGCTTTTCTGGTTTAAAGTCTCTTGTTCCTTCTCTTGCTCTGATGAAACCTAATAAAATATTTCAAAAAGCCAGTCAGAAGGAAGCCAAATCCATTGACACATTTTCCTATGAAATAAAATATTACACACAGCAGTTTTTCTCGAAAACAGGCTTGTCAATCAAGCTCAGCGAGTTTCTGTAAAGCTTTATTACTCCCCAATCATGGCTCTAAACAAAGAAATCCAAATTACAGAAACATTAGATAAAATATGCATATTCACTTTGGTCCCTTATGAGACACCTATCAAAATAGCTAAGTGTTATGTACTGGTGGTATACAATCATATCACTCCTTGATTCTAACGTATAGTTTAATTCTGAGGTTGTCTTCTTGTCAAATCAGTCAATTATCCAAATGGGTTTAAAATTACATGTTGTGCTTTATGACACTTTGGAGAAAGATTTTTTTTGAGCATCTCTCTTGCAAAAATCCAAGCAACTCCATGTCAACAACAAAAACAAACTTAGTATAACTTCTTGTGTCTTTCTTTTAGGAGAGAGCAAATCCTGTCCCTAAAGTACCTAAGATGATGTCTAAAATTAGGGATGCTTAAATATTAGTAACTTCTACTCATGCAGATAAAACTAAAGCATCAAAAATTATGCAGCTGCAATATCAGTTTATCTACCTGAGGGACAGAAAGATGCTTAGTCCTTCCGGCTGCAAGACGTTACATTTCTATTAAAGCTAAAAATGAAGTTGTCAACATTCAGGCAGTGGGTGTCGCCACAAATACAGCTTTTCTGTTCATTGAAATAAGTTGTAACCAATGAGATGGATGCTGTTTATGTGTCCCTATTGACAGAAGAAGTTGTGGGCATAATTCAACCCATTCATTCCATTATGTAGCTGTGCAAACTTTGACCTCCGAAGGTCATTTTAACTTTTCATCTGTGACCCAGCTGACTGACAAGCCCTTTTAAAACAGCTGTCATTCTGCCCTGACAAGTTTCAGTGGAGAACAGTCATAGGACAGTTGTATTGAGCTGGCCTCCCCTACCCCGCCATCTCATCCTTTAAATGTTGTTCTTTGTTAAGAAGTATCAACCATATTAGCATTTTGGGTAAGACTGAAGATGTGGGTGTAAGGATGCACAGGGACAGAAAATTTAAGGAATCATACCATTTGGTAAATATTTCTCCTTAAATCCACTTAAAAGACATTCCCGCTTTTTAGGAATGTGTTATACCTAAGACCCTTTGCTTACTATCTTTCTTTTTTGTACTAGTTGTTGAGTAGCTGCTTTTTTCCTGTACAAGTATCATTACTTGTTTGACATTAACAATCATCATTGGTCTCTTGAGCTTATTATACATTGCATGCAAATACAGAATGTATAAGGCATAGGAAAAACAGCAAATCGTATCTCAATGTTAGTTTCTGCTGGAGCCACATTTGAAGTGGAGTCATAGAGCTAACAGTCCTACTGAAGTTTTTGTGACCTAGGCTTTTCATTCAAAGGAGTCCTGTGCTTTGGGTTGTAAAACAGGTTTAGGAAGTCTTTGAAATCTAGACAGAATAAAGGATGATTTTCTAGGACAGCATTTTATGATCTGTCCTAGTAATTAAATGGTGCCTTCCCCCCAAGTAATTTGCAGTCCAGTTACCTGGAGACATTAGGTTTGACTAGAAGGGTTAGTAACGCCAATGAGTTTATGCTTCGTATTGAAAACATCAAAAATAAAAAACACTGGCTACAATAAAAATTCAACCCCCAAACTCCAAACACATAATCAATGGGAAGAAATAAATCAGGTAAATTACATGTGTCCTTGTTGGAAGAGGGGAACAATTCTCAACCTTTGAAACAGTGTGTGATTTGGGGACATTTACATAATATAAGTTCACATAACCTTTGGTATTCATGACACAGATCCATGAAGGGAATAAATGTTGGGGCCTACTGGAAACAGGGAGCCTTAAGCTTAGCTTTTAAGGATTTATAGGCTACAGGGGTCAGACTACTCTTGGCAGTGGTCATCTCCCAAGTTGATGGACTCAGTGTGGGGGCCAACCTTCCTCCCACAACTCACGAACCAACCCATTTCAAACTTCTTTCCCTAAATGGAACCATTCAAGGTCACCTGGCATCTTGGTCCTCAGTTTGACTCCTGGTGCTTTGGCAATTTTGTATGTATGGTATCTACTAGAACTCACTGATCCAAAACCTTATAATAAATTACCAGGCTAAGAGGATAAAGGAGGAATGAATTGTAACTTGGAATCTCCTTGCTTTTGGCCATTTTTGTTGCAAGCTTGTAGATGTTCATAAATCTCAGCACCAACTTTTATTTTGTCTTTTTAATTACTAAAGCTTAAAATAACTACGAAATTTGAAAATCCCTTTTTTGTATTGAAACTATCTTCTTATACAGGAAATCAGTTAGGTAAGTTAATATCTAGTTAGTAGGTTGGTGTGTGTGCTGTATGTCGTAAGCCAGTGTTTAATTAGGGAGTCTCTTATGTGTTCATTATAAACCTTATTTTTCAGGGGGTGTTTAATATCAGCACCAAAATTCCCTCTGGGGTTGAATCCTAGAACATGCTGTCTCCAAATGTAGTTGCTAAGTTTCTTTCTTTCTTTCTTTTTTCTTTTTCTTTTTTTTTTTTTATGGGCAGCAGGGTTTTTTATTATTCATGTTGAAACACAGCCCAGATCGGCCTCCATGACTGGCTGCCTGCTGACTGTAATGGCTTCTACCAAAGAGCTGCAGGGGGCTGCGGGTAGCTGAGACTTGTTTTAAAAGGTTCAGAAACTACCTGTTAACATGAGAGATAATAATGGTTTCAGAGGAATCATTTCAAAATTTCCCTATAAATAATATGTACTTAAGATGTTTCTAAATTGGTCTTAACCCAAGGCTGCATAGAGGTCAGTTATTCAAGACAATCTGTCAAGTTTTCAGGACAGTTTTGCAGACACACAGCACATCAATTTCAACATCCTGCCTTTCTCGATTCCACAAACGATGTTTGAAAGTCACACCAGCTCCTGGGATAGCCTGGCTATGAAATGGCCAGGAAGTCAAATCTTTTACATTGGAGTCTGTTGGCTTTTAAGCACTGAAGATCTGGCTCCTATTATCAGAGTCAGCATTTGCTATCAGATCGCTACAGGATATCTGCATCTTTCTAGAACCTTTCTTGGTCTATTCCATTTAATACCATGCACTGACTTTCAGATCCTGAGCAAATGGAAGGGTCTTCTATTGGGGGGAACCATGAAGTTTAGATGATTTGATTTCCTCAGTCTAGAGGCAGCTGTGGATGAGGGCTCAGAAGACCCCAAGGCAGGACAAGTCTCACAAAGCTATTTATGTGGAGGAGAGCAACTCACCTCTGATGCATCCTGGGGCTTTGGGGCATTCTCTTTTTCTTTCTTGCTCTTAGGGATTTCATGTTTGATGCGTTTGGTTCCTGATACTTTTGTTTTATTCTCATTTTCCTGTGAACTGTTCTCCTGTTTCCGAGGTTTGATTGGAGGCAGGGGCTTATCTTCCTCTCCTTTAATAAACCTTTCATATGGTAGGATTAATCTAAAAGGATATCAGAAGAGATGATCAATCAAAGAAGGTAATTCCAGTAGCATCAATGCTGGGGTGGGGGGTGGGGATCGGTTTACTTTCTTTTTCTAAATGAAAGCAATTTATTGAATGAGTTCATCTCCAATGACATCAATGCATTTCTAGAAACTCACTCCACAGTTTAGTGATCTACTTTCCTAGTCAGAACCAGGTACTGGGAATTAACATACTTCTTTGCAAGACCTCCTTCGGGTTATGTGAATCTAGATACCAAGGTTACCAATGGAAGCATCTAAGATTACATCATCACTGCCCATGGAACCTGGTAAGATGTCAGTTTCAACACAGCAACAACAATGATGGCTGCTATTCACTTATCATTCCACCAATGACATTTACTGGACATCTACTCTGTGCCAAGAGAGTGTTTTAAGCATTGAGATACAGTAGTGAACAAAACAGTCAAAGTCCCTGACCTCATGAGGGACTTACATACTAGTAGATCTTAGACCCACTATAGAGATTATTTCATGTAATCTCCACGACATCTTTAAGGAACAGTGGTATTGTTAGTGCTGTCATTACCATTGTTCATATTATTCCCTTCATAACAGATGAGGCAGCTGAGGCCCCAAAAGTTAAATAATTTGCCTGAGAGCCACACCAGTTGTTATTGTTGGAATTTAAACCTAGTTCTGCCTGTCTTCAAATTTGTATTTTCATGTATATCAAAATATAGACCAGACACTTAAGACAAAGAGAATAGCAGGGAGAAAGCACAGTGTGGCTGAGAAACAGCTATCTTATCCAGGAGCTCTGATGGGGGGAAGGGGGAAGTAACCCCTGCATGAGGTGCTCTGTCTTGGGGTGCCAAGTAAAAGAGGGCTGAGGGCCCCAAAGAGGAGAGGCAGGCAGACCACTCAAACCACAAAAATCAGAGGGCTAAAAAATTCAAGTATTTTAATTATATAACTTTTTAAACAAAGTACATAAAATTGCTCTAAAAAGAGAAACATCAAACAGCTCTAGTTTTAATCTGTTTTCCCTTTGCGATGTAGCTCTTGATCTGAAAGGGAAAAATAGCTGATGTAATTAAAAGGGATGGATTGCATTACAATCTCAGTTTCAACTTCAGTGATTAAAGTTTTTATAATGCATTTGGTATGATTAATGACTCACTGTGGGATTAATACAAGACTCAGCCTTAAAAATATGAACTTTAATACAGCAAACATAATTTGTTTTAAATAAGACAAGTTGACTCAATGAAGAAAATGTACTTGGCTTATAAACAACATAAATCTGTTCAAATATTGGGCACCCTAATTATTTTTAAACTAAGGCTCCCAGGCAAAAACTTCTTGGTTTGGGTATTTGTTAGCTATCCTAAAATTGGTTTCTAACTATGCAATTTGGATCTCAATGACTTAAACATACACAACTGTTCGGGTTTGCTGCCACAGACACAGCGACATTTGTGATCGTCATATTTCACTCTTTAAGAAAATACCAAGTAAATTATGGGAAAAGAAAATCCCAATTTATAGCGTAATAGAAACAAAATTCATTTACTGAGCATGCTCGGACAAGGTATGTGCAAGGAGGCGTGAATAATAGTTTTGAGCCCTACACCTGGCAGCGGGCCAGCCGTGAAGATCAACACCGCCCATGGGGAATAGTTATCTTCAGATCCCATTACAAACTGAGTTTAAACATGTTACAGCTGCTAAAACTGGAAACTGTTCTCTCTATGTAGACTTACTAAAATAATACATGGCTGCCAGATACCTGCTTCCCACTGTAATATTACAGTTAATGTTTATATAATAAAAAGCATAACTAAGAAAAAGACGAGAGAAAAAAGCAATCTTGTTCATACTTGCATTTATTCTGTCTCATCTGTAAAGTCCCCAACATCCCCCCCAATTCCTTTTATCTGTGTGGCTCTGCCAGGGACTTTATCCCCTTCAACATGGGCAGGCTGGGGATTTTTGTCTAGGGGCAAAATGCATTGAATATATTAAATTGGAAGAAATGCTTTAAATTGACTTTAATGTGAACATATTTTTATTGTTGGAACAGATAGGTTTGTTTTACTTTTGTTTGGTTGCCATGGGAACTCAAAGAGCATTACAGTCTGGGTATTGCAATGGTTACCTTTGTTGGTACCACCTTCCCCCCAATTCTATTCTCTAATAGAGGACACCATGAGGGACCTCTTTGCTGAGGAAGATGAGAGCATTACTTTTGAGTGTGGGAAGGGAGGGTGAGAAGAAGCAGAGACTAGAGAGGGGAGACATCTAAGGTGGGCCCTAAAGGACCCTTCACCTCAAGTTCTGGGCCAACTCAATTCTCTAGGTGGGTGTTAAGGAGACTAATTTCCTAATATAACTTTGCAAGTTCATGAGGCAGGACAACATTTTCATTTCATTTCTTTCTTTCTTTCTTTCTCCCCCGGCCCGCCCTTCCCTTCACTCAACTAGGCAGCTGGCTGGCCAACAGCAGTAAAAAATACATTTCTCTTTGCTGGTCAAAGGCCTAAAGCCAGAAGCAGGAAATCTGGAATTAAATGTTTCTTGTATCTGGAAAGAGGCATGACTAAGGTAAAACTGAATCCAAACACAAGCCCTGCTTGTTCAAAGCTTTCAGAGGAAGAGTGAGTAAGTGAGTGACTGAGTGAGTGAGTGTGTGTGTGTGTGTGTGTGTGTGTGTGTGTGTAAAGGTCAACTGAGTGTTTTTTTTTTTTTTTCTTTTTCTTCTAAATCACTGAAAGATAATTATAGTGGCTCAGGGAAAAAAGGCTCCCAAAATAAAACAAGAAAGGCACCAGCTAAAAGGAAACAAGTAGAAATATGACCAGCTAAGCCCTGAAGAACAGGCCTGGTCTCCACAGCACACAAACAATTGCTGTTCATATGGTGATTTCCGTTCGGTGTGATTTTCACTGAATGTTTTTTCAGTTATCCTGACATGGTACAACACAATTACCCCACAGGATATGATCTTATCATTTGATTATTAGAAGTTTTTACAGTACAAGAGGATGAAAGCTATTATAAGTTTCTGAACATTTCACCATTTAATGTGCATATGATATCATTAAAAACAGGTTAGCCAATATAAGTTCAACATTGCCCAATGCAGGAAGCAGAGTAGGTTTGTAGGGCATAAAGAATTCAGTATAATGCAACGTCCCTGTGCCTTGCAGATGATTATTCCTCAAATATTTGTACAATAGAGATTTAATCAGTTTCTAAACTGTACAGATAAAAGCAAATATGCACCCTAACCCAAGATCTTATTACACAGAAGAAATATTTTCAGTGGGTTGCAACTCTAAGAATGCGGGTTGGGTTTTAGGTGGTTGGAAGTAATAAGGAAGAGAAGCAATATATTCATTAGAAAATCTAGAGATTCCCCCACCCCTTTTACATCTAGTCTGGGGATTGAAAGCTCAGCAGATAAATGGGTCTTTATTATTATCCAGATTTCACATTTCAGATTAGCAGAATGCTTATTTATGATGCCATTAATGGATCTGAAATAGGTAAGCCATCATGTATTAAAAAATAACATCTTTCCATAGGCATAAGATTTGTAACAGCATGAGATTTTATTTTTCCCTAGGAATAATACAAGAATAACATTTTCCACCCCAAAGCAGAAACAGTAGGGGAGCCTTTTGCTATCACGAAGATTCTTATTAAATTCAGTCACTGTGAAAAAAGCAAGGTTCTTTTTTCTCCTCCTTCTTCTTCTTTTTGTACAAATAAAGATGACTTAAAATCAACCCAAGTTAAAATTAACAAATCAATGGCATTATAACCTTGATTTATTAGTGTCTAAGCCACTAAATTATCATCATACAAGAAATTGCTGGTTGGAAAAGATTTTTGGCTTTGTTAAATATCAAGTTAAATAATGGTGCTCAGTATATACTAGGATTTTAGATTTGCCTCATCTGATATTATGAACAATTCAATACATTTCTCTACAGCAGAAGTCAGGGGTCAGCAAATCTATTACTATAATGTAAGTAATCTGGCAACCTGCCAACTCTTTCTCCCTTTTATTATTTTTTTTAAATACCAAGGAAGATGATATTATATTTACAAATTCTAAAATCCTCCAGGGCCTTGCCTCTCCTTCCTAATAAAAAGTGGCAGCCTCATATTTGAGAAATATATATCACATAGTCCTCATCATTAGCATTTTATACAAAAGAAGAAAAGACCCTTCATCTTTATTAGGCAATATTCCCCTCCCCTCCCCATAGGCAGTGGAAAAATAATGTCAAATCTCATCTGAACAAGTAACCACTAATGTCTCCTGTATTGATTAATGCTTGCATGGAACGACTGAACTTTTGGGCCAAAACATTTAGCAAACAGTGCTTAAGAGGAGAAATGAGAATCCATCTATTTATAGAGCTCTGAAAAATGATATTATAATTATGTCTGGAATTGATTCAATCTGGAGAGTCGGGGAAAGAAGTGGAAATCTTTAGGGTTGCATTTGAACCTCAAATTCACCCTAGTTCGTTCATAGGCATTTTTAGGGTATTAAACCAGTGAAAAATTCCAACCTCTAAGATTTGCTAGTGCCCTCAGAACAGAATATTGTAGGAGCAGAGGGAAATAAAGTTGGTGTGTGTGTCCGGGCAAAAATACTACTACAGTTCTTACACTATTAGGGTTTTTTGTGGCAGTAGAAAAGAAATGACATATTGGTTCCACTGGGGCTTCAGACCTGATCTGATCCCAAATGGAGTCATTACACCCTCCGAGTTGATTCCAGGATTGATAAATTCTACGGCTTGGCCAGCCATTTCCCTTCTCAGCCAGAAATTGAAAATAAAACTTCACTGTGAAGTGGGTAAAGCAATCTTTCACCAAATGTGGAGCCAGTGGAAGGTAAATTTTTCTTTTTTGAAGATAAAGTACATACACTTTTTAAGGTTCCAAGAAGTACAGAACGTTTCTAATCTCATATACCATTGACTTCTCAGGATG